GGGGACCTGGAAGTGTAATGTAGTGGCTGTAGAAAATCCTTGTTCGCGGCTCTTGAGATGGAGTCTCCTGGAGATCGTCCGCCACCGCCACCCATTCCTCCACCCCCGCCTCCGCCAGCTACACCAGCGGTGCCTTCCTTGCCGCCAATTTCGGCTTTTGCCATGCCTGAGATATGCTCAGCAATTGAATCACTTCGTTCTGTTGCTGGCCCAAAACTGGAGCTGTGCTACGAGCTCCGTTGGCTCGGAGGTGGGTTATTTGGGGGCGTCTTCGAGGCCACGCTGCAGGATGGCTGCAAAGTTGCCGTCAAAGTGCCATCTCACAGCAGTGGACCACACAGCCCTGAGCAGAACTTGAGGCAATTGGTCGAGGACGCGCGGGCAGCCAGCGCGCTGTCGCACCCCAATCTGATCCAGCTGTTGGGGTGGACACAGATGCCTGTCCCCGCTTTGGTCTGGGAGCTGCTACCTGGGTCCTTGCCCATGGCATTGGCAGCGATCGCTTCCAGGTCCTCAGCGCTAGACCCGACGCAACTGATGTCACAAGTTCAGTCGGCGTCGGCGTACTGCAGCAAGCAGCTGCACGCCTTATGGGACAGTCCGCCGGTGGAGGCGCGGTTGGATGCCAATGATAATCTGGTCCTCACGGACTGCTTCATGCGGCCATCCGAGCACGACGGAAATCTGGCCTCCCTCCCACCCCCGCTGCGCTGTGGCGGAGCGGCCCGGGGGCTTCTCCTCAAGCAGTTAGGCCGGAAGACAGTCTCGATGTCTGTGAATCTCCACGTCACAGCGCATCACCTTCTGTGCCTGGAGCTGGCGGTGCAAGGATCAACCAGTGAAGCTTTGGCAGCAGGGCGAGCCTGCCCTGAGGAAGGGGTCATGCAGCTGCATGATGGGGAGATCCGCGGACTAGTATCCAGGCTGTTCCGTTGGGGGTCCAACTTGGCGAAGGGCCTCTTGTTTGGCAAGCTCAAGATGAAAGAGTTCCTCACTGGCCCAAAGCCATCAATCTCCTGGCTGGAATGGGGCATGCAGGAGTGTACGCGGTGGGCGGAGGACTTTTTCGACTACTTACCGCATCAAGTGGCAACACAGTTGCTTTCGCCGTGGGGCGGACGACTGTTGTAGTGTGACGTTCATCGACATCGGCGAGTTCGACCAGTCCGAACACTCGAGCGGGGTGACTAGGGGGGAAGCGGTGGACTGTGACCTCACCACCAATCCCCCAGCACTTCGGGAGAACGTAAGCTGAGCCAGGGTTCTGAGCCATCTTTTCGGTACCTGCAGGGCTAGAACATACCAACTACGTTTCAACCGGGGAGTACGGCGTCCTGACCTCCCAAGTCAGCCCCGCGGGGGAGATCAAGCAGTCCTGCCTCGAAGAGCCGTTTGAAAGCTAGGCCGCAGCGATCCCAACCTTCATTGCCACTGGACGGGGGAGGCCAACATCTACAAGGTTGGGCCACTCCTTGATGGCGAGCAGGTGATCCCCACATTTTGTCAAGTCGGCAAGATGAGAAAACGGAGAGCGGTGTTGCAGAAACATGATACCCGATGCTAGCCGTGTGCCTCCAGGCTTAGTGAGTACTGGGGATAATTAACATGCATGGCTTAATGCCAATGCTTCTGGT